AATCACTCTGTTTCTACGTATTTCAATAGACTGTGGGTATCATGCTAAATGTATGAAATGTACCAACAATAGATAATTTTCTTTTCAATAAAATATTATTATGATATACCTCGTAAAAGTGCCTCAATAATTTGACTGCAAATCCTTTAAATGTGTTTCATTATTTAAATTAACAAGTTATATTACGATAGTAGTTTCTTCTCGTAAATGTACTTCAGAAAGATCAACAAAACTCGTCGGTCACAAGTGTTCTAATTAATGTGTTTGTTTTGAACAAGAGTATTATTTGCTAGTCGAGTTCACTGTCTTATTACTCGTATATCAAAGAAATGATCGCCTCTGCTAATATATTAAGAAAAATTAAAGGAACACTTCAGAGTTAGTAAAAACCAATGATGCCTTAAAGTGTTTCTGTATAAAATGGCAACATAAATTGTTAAGATTACGGCCTACTGAAATTGAGGTCTGGGTCATATCTGCCATTGGATTATAATCCTAAACTACGAGTACATTCATACTATCGCTTTTCACTATAGAAAAACTTGTATAAAATTGTATTATCATTGTCTTTGAGATAAACAAACGAGAGTTTTGTCAATGGAATTGTACGTTGATACTAGCAAAACAATTGAAAATTCACTTAATCTTTGACATGATATGAGAGAAAATAAAAATAAAATCTATAGTTCACTTTGTTTCACTATCGTTGACTTTTTAATATTTTAATTTTCATCAGGAATCAGCAGATAGTGGATAATAAATACCAGGAGGGCAGCGTGAGCGATGCTATAGAGTACTTCGATCAGACGGCCACTTTACTCGATAAGCTGCGAGCCGTGCAGAAACAGTTGCGCCAATATATCAGGTACATTCTGATCTAACTACTTAAGTTTATATCGCCCTGATACTTTATATCACAAATATACTATATTCAATAGAGAAAAAAATATATTAATTTTCATTGCTAGTTAAGTAAACTGGGAAATTAGGGGAGGGCAATACTCATTTATATCTTTCTTAATATGAATCTATCTTTCTTCCCAACCTTCATTAGTCGGAGAGGCACCTCAAGAAAAAGATCTTTCTTAAATTTCTTAGGAATTTAGATGAGGTCTTCTTGAATCTTATCTTCTGGGTATTACTAGTATTTTCTTACATATATTTGTTCCTGAATTAAGTACCAAAACAAAACAATATCAAAACGTGAACCTCTTTTTCGTGCAACTTTTTATGGTGTAAAATAACCGTGATAAATAAATCAAAGAATCTAAAGCGTCTCGTCTATTGTCCTTGGTTTAATTTCATCGTTCAGTACATTCAAAGTAAATAGTTCGTATCTAATTCAATACGTGATCGCAGTATCAAAGCCGGAGCTCGGCTTCAGTGAATCCGGTCGACATATTGCAGCCACGCTCTTATTACGTCACAAATAAAATCGTTAAGGAAACCGAACGAAGAGATTTAACGACACCTTAAGCTGCTTTAAACTTTATACTTTACCGTATTAAATTACTATGTTTATTAATATTAATATACTAGTAAATTATTCAAACTTTGGTGAGACATTATACTAAACTGATATAAAAACGGCTAAATACTCATGTATAAATTAATAGAATTTTCTCCAAGTATAGTATTTTCTCGTCCAGAAGTATACATATTGTAATTATTAATTAATGATTTTCTCGGTTATTTCCAGGGAAGGTGTGAATGAAAGTCTTACAGAAGCAAGAAGGAGTGAAGCAGTGTGCGCCGGTATACTAGTTCTAGTTTGTGTGGTTTCACCGATTATAATTGCTCTAGTGAGGAACGCAGTCAACACAATTCAAGTAAGCATAAAATATCAAATTTAAATTGCACCTAAAATCAAAAAATTTTAATTTGATTAAAGTAGTCAAAGTAGGACATCTGCTAATTAAAATGTTTGAAGAGCTTTTTATTAACTTTACAGGTCTATGCCAGAAATCTTTCTGAGAAAGCTCGAGAGCTTGAGTACGAGAAAGAACTAAGCGATTCTTTGCTATATCAAATGCTACCGCCCAGTGTTGCCAAACAACTGAAGCAGACTCAACAGGTAAGAATATACGACAAAACAAAAGAACGTCGATTTTTCTAGAATTAAGGAATTGTTAATGATCTCTTCGAACTGTAACTGATTATTAAAAAGTTAAAGTGAGAATATGAGTACTAGCTACAATATTTCGTAGACTGATAAATGCCAGTGCAAGCTTTTCGGTGTCCGTCAACTACAGCAGGATTAAAAAGACGATTTTTAAAAATACTATTAATTCCAGTCTCTGTTTCTATATTGTCGAAATTGTATTTAAACACGAACATAAGTGGACTGGAAATTTATTTTCAGGTACCAGCAGAATTCTTCGCATCTGTGACAGTTTACTTTAGTGACATCGTTGGCTTCACTGCAATAGCTGCCGTTTCAACTCCATATCAGGTACATAACTTTAACAATAGTTACTTCTAAAATCATTTTAGTTGTTACTTAATTGCTTTTGTAATGACATTTGTGAAGTAGTCACATTTTAAAGGTTTTTGGGACTTGAGCGTCGTTAATACTACGAGTATTTTAGTGTCTTCTAAAATATTTGCAGGTGATTAGCTTTCTCAACTCCGTATACAAGTTATTCGACGAACGCATTGAGTGTTACGACGTCTACAAAATTGAAACAATCGGTGATTCATACATGGTTGCATCAGGATTACCCGTCAGAAATGGTATATCCTTGATTTTTGTTTTCTTAGAACCTAGATAGTAAAAACTACCTTACTAAGTTTCATACATTTTTCAGGAAATAAACATGCAACAGAAATCGCTAGCATGGCTTTGGAATTGCTAGAGGCGACATCTACCTGTCGCCTACCGCACCGGCCTGATCAGGTACCTACTTAGGTAATAATCGTCTCAGTGTTTTTGCCCATACATATCATTGCTTTGCATGATTCTATTTTGTTTATTTATGCTTAAAATCACAATTATCTTTTGAATTGATTTTGATAAGTATATTATCATACACTAGTACAACTGAAATGCGTTGAAAAAGCTTTTTTCTACTACTCGCTAATAGATGGCGTGGAAATCAAAATTTGTTAAATCCAATTTATTTGTACACAAAAATACTTTTGCTTTTCAAGACTTAAACTGCTTATAAAATGTATTGTATTAGTTTGACTATAATATGCAAAAAGTATCTATTTCTATTTCAGACTCTTTGCATGAGAAGTGGTATTCACACTGGACCTTGTGTTGCCGGTATAGTGGGTAGTAAGATGCCAAGATATTGCTTATTTGGGGACACGATTAACACGGCCAGCAGAATGGAGAGTACTGGGGAACGTATGTATTCTACATATAAATACATTTGTTTGAGTACTTATGTAGATTTCTTTATTCAAATTGTATACTTGTTTACGTAGCTATGAAAATCCAGATCTCAGAAGACATGAAAAGAGCATTGGATAAATCTGGTAAATTTATTACTGCGCCAAGAGGACTTGTCGATGTTAAGGTACACTACTATAGCTTCTTTTATACTATAGCATCTCCTATAGCTAAGTTGCATTTAATAGTAAATACGCTTTTAGTAATATTGATCAAGGGAAAGTTGTGGTATACAGCCACCTGGAATCTTTAGGTCAAATGTTTTTCTAGCAATATAAAAGTTCCAGACCTTTTTAAAAATCCAATATTTTTTTTTCATAATTGCATTAAAACCTCTTTTCTGTAATTTCATATAATATTTTTTTCAGGGCAAAGGAGAGATGATGACATATTGGTTAGAAGGCAGAACAGATCCATCTCCAGTGAGACCAACCACATCGTCGCTGGACTGCACGCCCAGCTTCCTCGCCAGGATCCACTCCAAAGGCAGGGCGTCGCCAAGATACCAACCGGATTCAAAAAGAGAACAACATTGAATCTTCTAATTGACAAATTTACTGAGAGAGATTAGTTTATTTATTTAAGACTTGTTTGTTTGTCACGTTGAAGTGTCGTCTTGGTGATATTTCTTTTAAAAGTAAAGAAAGAGTGTAAATGATAAAGAGGAGACATTTGTGTGATGTACGCCTTTCTTTCTTTCTCTGCTTGTCCTCTTTCCTACACAAATGAGTAGAAAAGGATAGTATTAAGATTCTTATGGATGCTGATGAGTAGGTGATCATGACGTTGTAGGTCTATGTTTTAATAATATAAGCTTTAATTTCCTAAAATACCAAAGAGAAAACATAGCTTGAGTAGATAATTTTATTCGAAATATCGTTATTTTGCGAGTTTGCACTTAATATTTATAGATAATATTAAATATAATTCTTAATAAGTTCTTATATCCATATAATTCGTAATATTAAAAATACTAAAATTAGTGGTTACGTCAAAAATCTCGTTTTTTTAATTTTTCAAAATTTTATATAAATTTAATTTATAAAGTATTTAATAGTTTTTTCTTTGAACCTTAATGGTGTGTTAAAACAGTTTTTTTTATAGAAATACGAGATAGATTAACGATATTTTTAGAATAAGTGAATGTTTAAATTTTGTAATGTCACCGTCTCTAGTCAAATAGTAGTGCAATAAAAGTTGCATAAAATTCGTACTTTCATTCCAAAACCCTTATTTCTTATGATTTAATATACAGGTTGTATTTTTAAGCATATGTTTTATTCGCATACTAGCTGTCGCCCGCGACTCCGTCCGCGCGATATTAAAAAAAAACTTTATAAATAGCCTATATGTTTATTTCTACATTCGTAACAAATTTCAGCGAGATCCAAACAGGCGTTCTGGAGATAGTGTCTAACAAAAATCCATCCATCCATCTAAACTTTAGCATAATATTATGGTTCCCAAAGTTAGAACCGTACTTCGTTTTTCCATGTAAAAAAAACAATTAAAGAAAGATTTAATATTTATTTAATAAAATCTTATATTAATGATACTATTCTTGGCACTATTATTTCTTTAATTCTTATACTATAATAATTTATTAAGATTTAATGAGCATTTCTAAAATATTCTGGTCGTAGTCATGTAATCGCATGCAACGTGGACTCTCCTGTGGTAGACCACCAATCTTGCCAAGCAGCCAGAACGTCTCCATCACTCCTTTGCCCTGTAAAATGAATTACAATCTTATCTTAATATAAATACGAATATTTGGATGGATGTTTATTTAAAGATATCTCCAGATCTGCTGAATGGATCTCTATAGAACACAGTCTGGAAGTACACATAGGCCACTAATTATGTTTTTATTCCGCGCAAACAGAGTCGCGGGCGTCAACTAGTTAATTATCACTTTTATTTCAGTCAAAAAAATATTAGTCTCAATCATATAGACGTCTTCACATAACCAAAAATGGACAGTGCATTTGTACTTGAACAATAATGAGTTGCAAGTAGCTGTTGGTTAATGAATTTACCTAATCTTAAATTTTTATAAAAGGTTAGAACAATGAGGCAATGCAGTATGACAACGCAGTATTATCTAAACGAGGTTCAGGCTAAGCGCCATCTGCACTCGGCCAACTCAAGCCCTGTGAAGCTGTAAATGCCTCTTCAAGGCAAACAGTGACTACTCAGTCACAAAAAAACGCAGTACTAGAACTACTATTGGTTTTATACTGCCATCCTTTAAAAAGTAAATACTATTCAAAAATGTATACAAGTGATTATAACTTTAGATATGTCACGTCCTTGTCAAATTATTTATATAGATTTCAACAATTCTAATAACAATGTCGTTAATCAAATGTGAATCTGTGATGGAAGCAGATCCGTCTTAGTGTGTGCATATTTACAGTGTACTGTCTCACTCTGCCTAATTATTCTGTCCTCGTGTGAAACGTATGCGTCAGTATTATGAAATATTGCGGTATTTCAACATTGGCGTATTTTGTGAGACTGAAGCCGAGCAAAATAAACAATTAATACGGCCTCTACTATCACTAATAAGACATTGATTATATAAAAATATACTAAGATGAATTTGAAAATAAAGAGTTTGAAAGAAATTTTTTACCGGTATATCAATGATTCCTCTAGATTCAATTTCGTATTTCCCAATAGAGTCCAGGGCTTTTTTCGTTGTTTGAGAAATGTGGATTTTCATTGCTGGAATAGTGGTTTACATAAAATTTAATTAGTGTAAGTAATGTAGTGCCCACATTTGTTTGAAATACGGGATACTCAAGGTGTTTCCTGTTGGACCGATCGGCCTAACGGTCCAACGGGAATTTACCTACGAACCTCCTTCCTCCTTCCATCCAACGTAGGATAAACTCATTTGTCAATAGCTAGCACTTCTCTCCGAATATAAATTACAACAGTAAAATATAACGGTAAATTCCATATTTTGCCACCCTTTGCTATCGGTTATATAAATATGAACGTATCTAATCCATCATAAGCGCCGTTGTGTTAACTACATATCTGTTCAAAGACCATTTATCAATCATGAATCACAAAATCAACTTATTCGATAAAATATCCTGTTTATTACACATCATAAATATCAAGAGGGTATTGATAATATTTCCGTTATAGATTAAATTGTAAACGAAATAAACATGACATAATGTATAAAAAGTAACGACTCTTGCCAGAAAAACATACATTTAGCCACGAGATGGTACAGAGGTTAATATTTGGTTCGTGTAGAGTTGGCAGACAAAATTTATGATTATTTAAAAATGGACTAGACAAGTCATGTGCTTTAAAGAAGATATTCTCATACACACCTTCCCCCGTGCTTTCCATTCTGCTAGCTGTATTAATAGTGTCTCCGAAGAGACAGTACCTTGGCATAGTTGTGCCAACCACGCCAGCCACACACGGCCCTGTGTTGATGCCCGCTCTGATCCTTAGCAACTCTTCAGGTCGATGCGGTACCCTCGCACCTTCCAGACCACGCATCAACGACAGTGACATATCCGCTATCTCTGATGCATGTCGATTGCCTAAACCAAAACAAATATATAGAGCCGACATTCTAAAGTTGCTCACAATTTTAGAGACACCGCGCTTAAGGCAATAGGAGGAACGTTATAATAAGTGAAGGGACGCACCACAACACGTGCTTTCCTCCAGCAGCTTATACCTGGCATGAACGTATGTACTGTCGTAGGAATCCGCGGTGTTCCGCTTATAGAAAAATTACCTTTTTTCTTGACTCAAAACAAACTTTTTATAAATAACCAATTGCAATGAGTTGCGCGAACGGTAGGATAACAGTAAAAAACAATTAGCCGTGTACCACTGACCGAACCTTTGTTCTACAAACATATTAAAAAGCAGTGTCCCATTGGTTATTCTTTGCGCTCGATGCGTACGAAACGTTCAAAGGAATATCGTTTTTGAGGTGGAACACCGCCAGTTTCCACGACTGTACTTCGTAATACACACAACGATCTCTTACCATTTCTCTGAGGCAATCCAGATACAACCATATACGCGTCGCCAATAGTCTCCACTTTGTAGACATCGTGCTGAACTATTTTCTCATCGAACAACCTATAAGATATTTATCTTTGTGTTAGTATCAATCTAATCTCCAATGCTAACTACATTATTAAATGTTTTACTGATACAATCTTTATAAAATCATATATCCGTCGCTAAAATTCATATTGCTTGATAAGGTGCATCATAATATAATAATATTTTATACTTAGTAGTACACTGAACTCTACAAATGGAATGGCTATAAGACGAAGTATTTGTGCGTATTTGACTCGCCATTTTTGGAGATGATGGTATTGGTTTTTAGTGGTGGTGTGAATTCGAACTAATAATATAGATAGAATTAACTGGCATGTAACATCAACAGGCGCGTTTAATTCAGAACAAATCGGAAACTGTTATTTCCAAGCAATCTCCTATCCATTTACGAAGTTTAATGCTCATATAACTACATACAGAAGAATAAAACAACTATGACCTACCTGTACAACATATTTAGCATATTAATAACCTCAATGGGTGTACTGGTAGCAGATATGTTGGTGAAGCCGACAATATCACTGAAGAAAATGGTGACCGCATCAAAAGATTCCGCGGGAACCGTCCTCTGAGCTCGGAGTCTCCTTATCACTGCCATAGGCAGCATGCGGGACAAAAGAACGTCGCTCTTTCTCTTCTCTGCTACTAACCGCTGATTGCTCAACTCTATCGACTCTGTAAATGTCTGAAAAGGTACACACTATTGGTTAATAAAAAAGCTGCCTGACTATAGCCCTATGATACTCACAGAAAGAACACGGATTGAATGACACCACAATTGTCAAAACAGCTTCCGTCGCATAGGCTCCAGAATGTCACAAAAGAATTGCGGGGTCAGACAAAGTGCTTTCGCGTCGAAGCGATTCCATAGCGAACTTCAAAATTGTAAGGAACTAGCGCGCGACAATCACAAGACATTTTGGAAGTTATTGTCAGTTCTATACATTTTTGAAATTCTTTATGGAATCGCTTCGTAGCGAATGCACTTTGCCTAAGCCCGCTGATCGACTATCAAAGAACTATTATCACAGCCTACACTTTGGCATGATTTTGTTTTGTTAAAGTTACTTTAATACATACGACCCAAAAATGTCAGTCAGCTTTTGATCCGAAATTTTAAATGATCCGATAAATTTCTAGACATAACAAAAAGTAGCATTTTTTCCTTAATTTTCATCCTTCTTCCGTGATATTTCCAAATGTATCTGGTCAAATAGATTTTATTCCAATTTCCTATGCTTTAATATTTCAAAACGTAGTCTGCCTTGCATCTTATCTGTTAATTAATGCAAGTAATACGTCACGAAATTATCTAAAGTAAATATAAGCTTATTGTATAAGCCATAAATCAAAAAGACGTTATCGTTCGAAATTCAAATAAATTAAATCTCGACGTTGAAAACATAAGCTACGGGACACGTGTCATTACTTCTTAGGTATCATACAAAATGGATTCCCATTGCCGAAACATGTACAAAAACGTATTGTCATCTCTATCATTCTCTATGAAACCATAGAGACAATAATATGTTTAACCATAGACAGTAGATAATAATAAATGTATAGAAACAAATGTGTTAGAACAACCATATTTTTAAGAACAAGAATAGGAGCTCAGAAACATGATTTATCTAGAATCTAATTTTAAAAATTAAGTAGTTGTTATGTATGTACTATGTGTACAATTTAAACAATAAAAAAAATCTAAAGATCACCTGATTATAACACAACATTCTTTAAACGTATCAAACCTGATCGATAAAAATATCGTTCGCCTTGGCCACCTCCTACTTGTACCAACATCCATTCACTTTATAACCTATTGCTCTATTCTTCCTTCGTATTGTAACAGGATATCATAAAATTGTCATATCCTATATTACTTCAAATCATGCTATTAATATTTATAATAGGACAAGAAAGTCTCTAATAAATATACTTCATACTATCCTATTAATATTATAAACTAACTGTCGCCCACGACTCCTTCCGCACGAAATTAAAAAAAAACAATTAGTAGCCTATATATTCTTCCAGACTATGTTCTATATGTATACCAAATTTCATCGATATCCATTCAGCCGTTCTGGAGATACCTTCAAACAAACATCCCTCCATCCATCCAACTATCCACACATTCGCATTTATAATATAAGTACGAAGAATGGAGTAACATTAGTATGATGGGAATGTTCAGATGGATGGATGGATGTTTTTTGAAAGGTATCTCCATAACGGCTGCATAGATCTCGCTTAAATTTGGCATAGATGTAGAACATAGTCTGCAAGAACACATAGGCTGCTTATTAAGTTTTTTTCTCTTTAATTCCGAGTCGCGGGCGACATCTAGTTATTTATATAAATAATAATTTCTAGGAACTTGTTGTTACACTAAATCAAGGTCTTTAGGAAATGTCAATAACTCCACCTTTCCATAGTGTTATTGAAACAGATGCTTAACTAAATAATTGTGACGTAAATATTGTAAAGTTAACAGATGTCAAAATACAATAGCAATAATATATTTTAATTTGTTTTTGTTTTACTATTAATCTGTACTGAATTCATATTGAATTAAAGTCCTTTAAAGGCGTTAAAATATTATACTAAATTACGTAATTTGATATCTATATCTTTGTTTTGTCTATTTATATCTGGAACCAAAATTTTGACTCTATTCAATAAGTATTCAAACAAGTTAATACATACTGGCTGTCCCTCGCGACTCATTCCGCACGAAATTAAAAAAAAAAAACTTAGTAGCCCACGTGTTCATCCAGCCAATGTTCTACATCTATGTTAAATTTCAGAAAGATCCATGCAGCCGTTTTGGAGATACCTTTAAACAGACATCCATCCATCTAAACATTCGCATTTATAATATTACAAAGTACAGTAAGATGCTTTTTTTAATATGTATTAAAATATATAAACTGTTCAAATATATACTAATGTATAATGAAGGACATTAATTAGTTGTTATATTAGTTTTACTGCGATGTCCATATTTGGTTAATTATTCACGCAAAACATTGATATAAAGGTCTAATAGGAAGTCGTGAGCAACGGTCAGATAATAGCAACGGAAAGGCTGCACATTTCAACAAAATCGACACCTATCTCTGACTCATAAAAGGCTATAAATTCATTTACTTACGCGCAATTTCTTCCAATACATTGACTACCAGAAAACATAACTATAGCTCAGTGTCACTTCAGCTCTCGAACTGATCGGACGTTAACCATGAAGGCGAATAAATTAATAATACAAGCGTTCGCGCTTATTTTATTATTCCAACTAATTGATTCTAAATCAACTTTCGATATAACGAGTTTAAGGACTGATCCTTTAAAGGTATTAAGTGAAGATATAAAGTGGTTGATACCAGTGAGAGTTAAACGCAGTGCTATAGTGTACAACAGATGTCCTTTAGGATATAAAAGATTGCCGCCACCTATAAACTGTATGAGATGTGATTTGTAAGTACATTTAACAATATTACGACAATTGAAACTCACTGTCACTATCAAGAACATACATCGAATGACAGAACATTTGACATTCTTTTTTGAAATTTCTTGAAACCTGAATTTTAATAAAACAGATTGTAAAGTAATATTTATTTAGCAATATATTTTATATCCACATTCCTGTTAGGTATAAAGGTTGAGTGACTCGATCTTAAGGGGATTGAACTGACGACCTTTAAATATATCATGACTTGCTTTTGCCAGCGACTCCGTCCACGCAGAATTAAAAAATTAGCAAGTCTATGCGCTCTTCTAGACTATGTTCTATATGTGTAATTTTTTATAAAGATTCGTTGATCCATTTTAGAGATACCTTCTAACAAACGGGATGTTTGTTATCTTCACTTTCACATTTATAATATTAGTAAGATGTCTAATAATGTTCGGTATGAAGAGTGAACTGCCCATTTTTATTTGAGACTGACAGTCTTTCAAAAACTGGCATCAGTATGTTTCTAGACTTGTAATTCAATTGATTCAAAGACCAGTTCATATGTCATTCCTTGTCTCATCTAGTTAGGGAAGGTGAGGAATTGATCTTACTTCTGTGTTATATAAATTATTATATTTATATAAATATATTTTTTTAAACAAATCTGTATTTATACAGGGTGTCCCAAAAGGTTACGTACATAGGAAGGGGGTTGATAGGGGTGGTCACAAGAGTCACCAGAAAAATAAAATAAAAATTCCCCTCTGGGTATTAAAAAAATAAATGGCATTTTTTAAAAACTTATAAATTTTACGCCTTCTGGGTCAATTTTAATTTTCTTTAAAATCTTTGTTAGTTGTATTGTTTTTTTTTTTTATTTCATATTGCTAAAGGGTTATTCACGAAAACATACTAGCTTTTTTTTAAATATAGCAATATTTGTAGGTCATCGGTTACAAAATTGCCCCAGAAGGTGTAAAATTTTTAAGTTTTTAAAAAATGCCATTTATTTTTTAATACCCAGAGGGGAATTTTTATTTTATTTTTCTGGTGACCCTTGTGACCACCCCTATCATCCCCCTTCCTATGTACATAACCTTTTGGGACACCCTTTATAATGTCTGCTCGTGCGCATTTCAATTACATGCTTATTATACAATAACAATAAAGATAACGTAGTTCTCGTAACTGCAAGATATGGTTCATACAAAGACCATACATTGAAGGACTAAACAATATTTAGAGATAATATTAAGAAACGGCAGCCCGTGTCGGTTTTCCGACTCTAGTGATATTACAAGGTTCTCTAATAAACATTGACTCGTAAAATTTAAAGGATAAGTTACGATAAAACAATTGAAATTCTATCCACACGATCTTAACGATTGGCATTCTACACTCGCAGTTTTAAACACATCTTCCTGTCTTACAAAAATTGCCTTGGAGAAAAATCTGTCACCTGCGGTATTTCCCAGCTCATACGATACGGAACCTTCAGATAAGAAGCGTTCCTACGTATTTCATTAACTCTGACAACGCAGTTGTAATTCTACTTATGTTGTTGTCGTGTTGTATTTTTTTTTTTGGTTGCAACGAAATAAAGCCTATGTTACATTAATAAACGCATCTAAAAATAAACAAATGAATTGCGTATTTACTGGACTAGAATGTTGCCGCCGCTCCACAAACTCAAAATTTTTATTAGCCTAAACTAATTTTTTTTTTCAATTTACTGTCCACTTTAAATCTTCTATATAGTTGTAGTATTGCACCGTTTGAATGGGACTGTATCACTATACAAATATATATGCTAAAGATATGAACAAACAAATCGTACTTTTTATGTAGACAGTAAATTTTTTTATATTATTTTAAAGACGTAATTAAACGCGGTTATACCTAATTGTTTTTATCACATCGCGTCTTTTGCACACGTTTTTTGTCAGTTTGTTTATCGTAGAACATCTTCAAGATCGCGTCGTGATTGCTAATATATGTCACCTTGATTTAGACGTATAAGGTCAAGTGCGCGAAGTGGTATTTTCTTCTAAGTTATATTTATTACTAGCTGTCACGACTCCAGCGACACGAGATTTAAAAAAAAGTAGACTATGTGTTCCTCCATATTATGTTCGACATGTAAGTCAAATTTCAACGAGATCCATACAGCCGTTCTGAACATACCTATACATACTTTTAGACATTATTAGTTAGAATCCTTT